ATAGCGTTTAGGCCTGAGCATCCTATACGCTGTTCTGACCGACAGCCCATACAGTGTTATCTGATTCGTTGCATTTCTTATGTTCCTTGAGGGAGGTGACCACTTCCATTCAAGCGGGTCCAACGGCAGCTCATGGACCGCCCAGTGTGGTTGGTAGGCTACCTTCCTTCCGTTTCCTTCTAATATCCGAATCCGGTGGACTAAATCTGTCTCTATCCATTCGATAGGGGCTYGACTTTCTTCCAGGGCCCCTGTTCGTGTGCTTCCGTAGTATTCCACTAGCACCCTTCGGGGGTCCACCATATGAATTTGACCTATGCGTGGCGGTACTTCCTTGGTAGAAATCCAGTTCCCTTCCTTGAGGGAGGGGCCTCGTTTAAAAATTAAGTACTATGCTAACGGAACTGTTTCGATTATGTCTTCCAGATGCTTCTCAATGTGGTGGCAATGGTGCAAGATTCCTTTTAGATGGATTGCTGTTTTCCAATCATGTCGCTCCTGGTCCCATAGAATCCCCTATCCTAATCACTCCGCGGCTAACCCAGGTTTTCCATGGCAGGTCCGAGCTTGATCTTACACAGCCCTGCTGGTCGGTCATACGGCGATTGCCGAACAGAGGTTGGCGGTAGGTTTCCTCCCAGCGGTCCGGGGTGGTTTTGTCCGGGAGGGGGAGCCTCCTCCATATTGCCAACAGGGATGGCCAAAAGCTATCTCTTGGTCGGTCCTCTTCATCCCCCTCCTCCCCCCCCCGAGGCCCTTTCCGCGGGATTGACCATGAGCGATCCTCCACCCAGGTTAGGGGGTGCACCCCTTGCGGGGCCGCTGGAGCTAGTCGGGCTAAGTGCTCCAGGGCCAGTATGCACCAGGGGCTATGGGGAGTGAAAATTAACTTCTTGACCCAATTCATTCTCAGGGCTTGTGACTGAGTAGCGGGGTCTATGATCCCCAGCCCTCCCCAGGCTTTCAGTTGGATGATCGAGTCCCACGCTACTCTGCTGATGACTTTTCCATTTTCGCTGTCCCCCCTCCATAGGAACGCCGCTGCCTTTCTCCTGAGCTGCTTTAGTGCCCCCCTGCTCAAGGGCCAGAGAACTGATTTATACCATAGGGTTGCAAAGGCAACGTTATTCAGAATCAATGCGCGACCGAAAATGGAGGTGTGTTTATTTTTCCAAGTGCAGAGTTTCTGAAGGGCGGGAGTGTTGATCCAATCGTCGTTAGTTGGTGGACATCCCTCTGCTGTTATGGAGACCCCCAGAATTCTCTGTGGGGCCTCCAATGGCATCCATTCTATCTACGGAGAATCTGGTGGGCGCCCGCCTTGGTAGTGTATCCACCACCCATGCGTCTTGCTCCCCCAGTTAATCGTCATATCGGAAACCCTCATAAATTTTCCCCCTAATTCCTAGATTTCCTCTAAGTTGTTGTGCGTGGCTTCAACCATGATCGTGAGGTCATCCGCAAAAAGTGAGCACATAGGGACAGCCTCTTCGGGTATATGTGCAATTTGGATTCTTATGATATTCCTATGCGCCCTGAGGTTGGCCGCCCGTGCTTCCATGATAATCAGGAACAAGAAGGGGGCTATCGGGTCCCCCTGGCGGACTGACCGTTCAAGCTTAAGGGGTGGTGTCAGGCTTCCATTAACTTGAATGCAGATGGTCGCATTCTGATGGAAAATCCGAACCCACCGTTTGAAGGATGGTCCGAAATTCATTTTCTCAAGGCATTTGTCTAAAAAAAGTCAGTCGACGTGATCGTAGGCTTTTTCAAAGTCGATAAAGATTAAGGCTGCGTTCCGGTGGTTGTGTCGCGCAAGCTGTAAAATCTCATGTACTAGGAGGATATTTTCTTGTATGTTTCTGTTCTGCATGAACCCTATTTGGGAAGGGTGTATTATATCCTCCATTACCGGTATCATCCGATTTACCAGAGCTTTAGATAGTAGTTTATAGACTACCGTAAGTAGAGTTATGGGCCTGTAGTTTCGGATGTCCAGTTTATCCCCCTTTTTGTAGAGGAGGGTCAACACTCCTTGGCCCACTCTTTTGCCCATATCCCCTGACCGCCAAACTTTGTGATAGTAAGCCATAACATCCTGGCTGATGAAATCCCAGGTAGTTTCCCAAAATTCCTTGGGGAGGCCATCTATTTCCGGAGCTTTGTCCTCCTTCATTTGCATGAGGGCTGTCCATATTTCCTGCTCAGACAGAGAGGATTCCAGGTCGTCCCTTTGCTCTGGGGAAATCGCCTTGTTCATAGGGGATAGAAAATCATCAATTTGGCTATCGTGCCTTGCACCATCGGTGCACTCAATATGCGAGGAAAAGAGATCTTTGTAAAAATCACGGGCTAATTTAGTGCATCTGGCCGTGGTTGTGGCCGACTCCGACTCTACTGCATCCGGATCGTGGAGTGCCTCGATCGCGGTTCGTTTCACCCGCACGCTGGCTAAACCTAAGAAATGCGCATCCATGGTTCCTTCAGTGGAGAAGTTTGTTAATCTTGCCCTCAGTTGGGTTCCTTGCCATCTGTATCTTGCATGGTTCAGGAGTTGTTCTCTCAGATCGTGTATTCGACTACAGTGTTCCTTCCCTTGCGAATCATCATGCGACTCATGTTCCTCGAGCTCTCGCATGGTTAAAATTTCTTGTTTATATCGTTGAGTAGCTAGGGATTTAGAAAACTCATTACATTTTTTGGCTAAGAAGAAAAGACCATTGTTAAACCATGCAATTTGTGAGTCGTGCTGATGCCTGTTTTCTCTCCAGTATTCCCAAACTTGACGCAGGTACCGTTGAAATGATTTCAACTTGAGTAATGAGGTGTTAAGTTTGTAATAACTGGGCCCCTGATTTGGCTTCCTTCGGAAGATCCAAATTGCCATGCACATCCGGTGGTCCAGGCCCCTGTACGGGCTTGTCGGTAGGATTGGGGCTGCCGTCAGCCCGCCCAATAGGTCCTTTGAGGCCAGAACCAAATCTATTCGGGATTTTGAAAATTTGTCGGGGTCATGATTTCTTACGCACGTATAAAGTTTTTCTGTCGGGTAAGTGCGCCTAAAGGTGTCGACCAGTTGTAGGGAGGAACATAAGCCTCCTATCATTTGTTCGTCCTCTTCCGCAACGTGCGCGGTGGAGGGGTAGATTCTCCATCTGTCCAACCCTCGGTCAAGAGCCGCATTGTAATCCCCTGCTAGTATTACTGGAATATTTGGGGGGGGGATGTTCTTGACTTTTTCAAAAAATTCTCTTCTTTCGCCGGGGAGGTTAGGGGCGTAAAGAGAGAGAATACAAATTACCTCCATCTCCACCATCCCAAAAACCGACACCCATCAACCTTCGTCGTCATCCCTATCCCAGTGAAGGACCTCAAAACGTGACTCTGGGGGGATCCATATCGCAACCCCTGCCCGCCCTGATCCAGGGGCATGCGCTTGATAGCTTTGGAAGGGCCACACTTGCTTCCGCGCCCTGTGGTGTTCGGGGGAGTCCATCAGATGAGTTTCCTGGATGCATACCACATCTGGCCAGTTTTTGCTCCCTACCCCTCGAATAAGATCCCATAGAGCCTGTTTTTTTTCGGGGGAGCGGGATGCAAGACCGTTTACGTTGATGGATCTTACGTCCAAATCCGCAAGCTGGAGCGTCTTCCTCCAGGCCTTGTTTTTACCGTATAAGGCCTCGATCCAATCCATAGTAAAAGAAGGCTGCACCCTACTACTTACCTCGGATTCTCCTATAGCCTCTGCCATTCCTGGGCCTCCCAATTCACCCCCCCCCAAAGGACGTTCTTTCTCAGAATTGTGCACAAACATATAAGGAGGTCATCTGTCGACCAAATCTGACTGGGTTTTGCTTTCTGCTGTTGTACTTCGAGGAGAGCGTTATGTGAATACCACACCAGGCCATTGTGTTCAGATATTATTTTGATTGCACTCTGTACAGGGGACGCTGGACCCGTTTTCCAGCAGGTGACGCTCCCCACCAATAGATGGAGCCTCTTCCCAGGTGGTAGTGGTGTCTGCTCTTACCAGCACCACCATCACCTGAGGGGACGGGTTTTCTCAACAAAAAAAAAAAAAAAAAAAAAAAAAAAAAAAAAAAAAAAAAAAAAAAAAAAAAAAAAAAAAAAAAACCGACATTTGCACTGTGATATAATAGCAGAAGTTTTCGGGCAGCCCAGGGATCTAATGGCTGCAGATTAGAGTTCCCTTTTTTTTTTTGAAACAAAGGCGGACGCGGCATGTTTTCGGGCAGCCCTGGGATCTTTTTTTTTCTGTTTTCCCCTCTCACACCACGGCCGCCCCCTGTAAATATGACACCCGGTCTGACACCACGGCCGTTGGTACTTCCGTTGCCTTTTCGAACTCGGCGCGGTTTTCTTTGCCCAGGCCCTGTTTTTTTTGCCGATTCACTTCCCCCTTTTTTTTTCTTCTTTTCTTTCGAGCGGCCTGGCTGTAGCACGAATGGAAAACTGAACTGGACCTCTGCTTGTGGGACTTGGCCCCAGGGGCAAGGTCCCACAGGATTAAAGGTCTGAATCTGGACGCTTTTGCGGAAAAGTGCAGAATGTCACGAAAGATCAGCTGTTCTGCATCTCCGTGAAGAACACGTCCAGATTCGGGCGGTTAATCCAATCGTCTTTGCAAATGAGACTTGGCCCCAGGAGTTACCGTACCTTTTTGCGTGAGCTCTGGCCGCAAAATCAGATTCAGAAACATTGGCCCAGGGTTGCAGCGGTAAATTTAATGTGGTCCCATGGCCAGTGACACTGTGTCTCATGCTCTGAAAGGGTAAGTTAAACGCCGTAACGGGAAAAAATGCCACAGAGAGAGAGAGAGAGAGAGAGAGAGAGAGAGAGAGAGAGAGAGAGAAAGAGAGAGAGAGAGAGAGAACTCTCTGTGTATGACTGCAATCTCGATGAGATTCAGTCGAAAGTGTCTGCTGGCAAAATGATAACTCTGGGACAGCAGATTGAGCAGGGTCTCACAGCGGATGTTGAGGTGACCGTCATTCTTGCCTATAAGTAAAGAGATACTGAAGCATGTCCCCAACGGAAGGGCCAGAATCGGCGCTCACAGTAGGAGAGAGGTCAACAGGGGCGTATGTACACAGTCGAGGAGAGGAGGAGGGTGGCTGAGGTATGCAATGCCCATCCTCCGTTGTTTGCCCTCCTGTCCAACGTCATCCTTTCTCGTAGCTTATTGCCATTCCCAAGAGCTGATGGCACAGCTGAGAGATGGGCTTCACATCCATGGGCAGGCCACAATAGTGGTGGCTATGGCGCCTTCTTCTACTTCCTCCTCTTCCTCCCCTCCTTCCTTCTTCTTCTCCTTCTTCCTCCTCCCTTCTCCCTCTTCCTCCTTTCCTCCTTTCCTCCCTTCCGCTTAATCCTTGTCTTCCTCCTCCTCCTCTTCCTTCTTCACCCGCATACATAGGCCTTCGCCTTCCCCATCCTTGACCCCGTTCCTCCTCCTCATCTGGCTTCTCTGTCCTACCTCTCCTCCCTCCCAAACCATGACACCATCCGCTCCTCCTTGTCCCCTTCCTTGTGGTCTCCCCCTTCTCCTCACTGTCTCCCTGTCTCCCTCTTCCACTTCCCTCTTCTCCTTGTCCTTCGCCTTCTCCTCCTTTTCCTTCATCCTTGACTTCCTTTCCCCTCCTCAAATTTCTCCTCCTCCTCCTCCTCCTTCTCCTTCCTCATCTCTCGTCCTCTCGGCTGGTCACACCGTCACAACAAATGAATCATCGCTCCCCCTACGAAAACAAAAAGAATCACCAAAGCGAGAAACCGATGTCCCACACACACGCACGCACGCGCGCGCACACACACACACACACACACAGAGAGAGAGAGAGAGAGAGAGAGAGAGAGAGAGAGAGAGAGAGAGAGATGGGCCTGGCTGGAAGTTTTATCTGTATACAGGCCGGCACTGTTTTCTGACGTTAAACCACCACGCCCGTCGAGGCTTTTCTTCCCATGGCGTGCCAAGGGCAAAACGAACAGGGCCGGCCATCTTCTTTTCCGTTTTTTGGCTTGCGCGGCAGTAAAAAAGGAGGCCAAGCTTCCGAGGAATGCGATGGAGCTACATTCTGTAGCAAATGTTTGCCTGGAATACGTCTGGTGATGTAAGGAAGTGTAATTTGGCTCTATTTATGAAATGATGAGTGCCATTGTTGCACAGGGGCCATCAGTGTAATTTGGCTCTATTTATGAAATGATGAGTGCCATTTCGGTAAAGGACAGTAAAAAGTGAATTTCGGTTCATTCGAGGACTCGAGTGGACTTGTAGTTTCTGTTTAGAAACACAGAGCTTCACGGTCTCTCACATTCGGCATTATTATTATGATTATGATGATATATTCCTTAGTGATGTATAATGGGTATAATTCGTACTCACTTAGTCTGTCTTCCAGGATTTCTTATAATTTATAATCACTAAGGATCGAATCGACGAAGACTATTACGGTTAATCGGTACAGTACATAATAATAGTATTAAAATTTATTATTATTAATGTTTCCCTTGCTGTGTCGCTATAATGGTCAATTCCTTGTATGTTTCACGCGTCCCTGCACCTGATCACTGACAAAGTCACCTCTTTGTCTTGATACGGAATGTGCTATTTGTTTTCTGCAAATCAGAAAGTTTGACAGAGAAGCGGGAGGAGGAGGTCTTTTTCTGAAGCTCAAGTGTGAAAGAGCAGCACCCACTTATCATCATCCGGCCGTTGTTCTACCGTCATGGAGGCTGCAGGAGCTCTTTCTTTTCCTTCCCGACGAGTGGCCACGATGATGCTTTTGCTCTTGTGCCTCTCTGCTGCTTCTTTCTGGGTCGAATCTGAAGCTTGCTCCCACTGGGGCGAGGCTTGCGGGCCAGCATATTGGTGCTGTGACAGAACACAAGATGGGAAGACCGCATTGGAATGCCAGTGGGAGGGAGGCAGCTTTTGGTGTCAAGCCGCAAAGTGTCAATGCGGCTACACTCGGTTCGGATGTCTTCCGTGCGATAGTCTTGGCAACGCCAAGGTACCAAAAGTTTCCCTTCGTTGGAGCATAGCCGCATAGATGGCTCACTGATTTAGAGGCACCTCCTCCTCTCTCTATTGATCTATCGATTGATTGATTGATTGGAAACATTGATCGATTGACAGACTGATTGATTGATTGATTGAATCTATTCATTGATTGAAAGAATGATTGCAACATGGATAGATTGACGGACTGATTGATTGATTGATTCATTGAATCGATTGCTTGATTGGTTGAGTCGCATGATTGAGATCACAACAGGCAGGTATACACCAAGTACTAGGATGTATGATGCCTCTTGGTTCACTTGGTGCGTTGTATTCAGCGTAAGACACTATAGCCTGTTTTGTGTCAGAGGGAAAGGCATTGACTTGGCCTCGCCTGGCGACGTTTCCGTATGGTTTCGTTACATAACCTTTAATAGAACGCACAGGGTAATCATTATGATAGCTTCATTTATGGACGGAAAGTTGTGCCGAATACGGCTATCCTGACCCTGCGCTGTTTTCCTGCTTTGGTTTATGTCAGTTTCCTCAAATTTTAAAGCCCGTGAACAATTTTTTTCTGAGGTTTTTTGAAGCAGTGACTACCCCGTGAACGTGGCCGGGGCGCTCAGTGCAGAGTGACCGGCCAAACCGTGACAGCGCTGTGAGTGTGTGCTTCTTTTTTTTTTTTTTTTTTCCCCTTCATGGTCGCCACAAGCCCCGCAACGTTTCAAATTTTAATTTTGAATCTGGTAAAGAATTTCGATATGATCCTGAGGCAAAAGTTGCTCAATGTATTTGTCTGCATAACATAGTTTCTTTTTTTTTTTTTTTTTTTTTTTTTTTTGCTGGGACCTTCCCTGGGGCCATGACCCACTAGCGCCGTACTATACCGCGGGACAGTGGCGTGTGACACCCTTTTGGCATTTGAAAAATGGTTTCTGCATTTTTTCAGATTTAAGAAAATCTCTTTCTACGAGTTAAAGAAAGTAAAATTCAGCTGAGAGTGCTCCCGTCAGCCATGGCGTCGCCTCTTTTTCTGGGTGTGTGCTGCACTCAGCCAATGGGCTGGGTCCTCTGAAGGTGGTTGCTGTCTGGTCATTACGATATTTGGCAGTACATAATGACTTTTTTTTTTTTTTTTTTGTCGGTCTTTTTGTGCACGCGAAGCACTGTAGCAAGGTCACAATATTCCCCCCCTCCCAAAAAAAGTCTGGAAAACAGGACGCTGCTACAGTGATTTTGAAATAAGAGAAAAAGGAACAACTGGGCMAAGTGCGTAGGGTACACAGCCAAAACCTTTTCGTTTTTTCTGAATCTGTTCAAAACCCAGAATGCGGCACGATTTCCCCTCCATCGATGGCGTGTAGCAATCCAACTTTGTCACACCTGATTGAAAACCGTGCCTACACCGTATAATACGGCGCTAGTGGGTCCTGGCCCCTGGCCGGGCCGCCCAGCAAAACAAGGTGACCCTGGCTGGTAGCCTAGTTTTATAATAAAAAAATATTTTATTCGTGATTTTTTTCTCAAATACAGGCAGATACCCTCCGATGACCCCCCCTCTCCCCCCAAAACAAAAACACCATTCACCAGCGAAAAAAAAAAAAAAAACACTCCCCGCTCCCCGTGATGACTGTCTGGAAGCTGGTCACCAAGATCGTAACCGTTGACCGGCCTCCGGTCACCGGGACCACCGAACGGCGGTACGACACTGGTTTGAAGTCTGTTTGTTGCCAGACTGTTTGAGTTACTTTGAGCCTGTTTTGAGCAGATGTTGAGTGCGTTCTGCTGAATCTGCTCTATATGTTCATTTGAGTCTGTGTGAGTACTTTTACTGATCTTTGGCGACGATGACGAGGTTTCTCATGCGGGCATAGCCCCCCCCACGTGGGTGCTAAGCTAGTGATCCAGAAATGAGCTTCACCATTTGCCCATCCTGTTTCTGATCTTGCGTCCATGATGTGATTTTGGAAGGTGCTCATACACCTCCTCCATCCCAATTCTCCGCTAATTCCCTGACTTGTCTCTCACATTCATCTTGCTGCGGTGCTTTTTCTACTTGACCTGATATTCTTCTCTGCATCAGTGACATGCCGTATTATTTTCCTCGCCTATTTCTTGACATGTATCACCCTCCTCGCTTGTCATAATCATTCGCCTGCTTCCGCACCGAGTCCCTCCCTTAGCTTGTCCCAGTAACCCTGCTCATGTGTGCATACGTGCGCCCGGACCCACGTGTGGCCCATCTATGCCGTAAATGTGTGCGAGTGTGTGTCCATGTGCACGCGCGCGCGCGCG